AATAGAGGCTCTGTACATGTCAAGTAGAAAGTCAAAGTAATTTCCATTTTCAAGGAACTGAAATTTTGCAATTCTGGTAACATAGAAGCTTGGTAAAAAGTCTATTGAATAAAATTTACCATTGAGTAAAAGGTGTTTTTATCATATGCACTTTTATTCTCCTTACCGTTTTTGACATAAAGAGAGAAGTACACAGTTTAATTGTTATACAGTGACACCATGTAACACTTCTTATTAATTAATGAATACAAATTTTACATGTTGATAAAATTTAACAAAGTCATGGTTAAAACTCAAGAACTATTTTGCATGTGACGTATTTCCTTCAATAGCTATGGTAAACTTGACATAAAATTCTGGTTATGGTGTACATTTTATTTTATTTATTTATTTATTTATTTTTTTAATATATATTTTATTGATTTTTCACAGAGAGGAAGGGAGAGAGATAGAGAGCCAGAAACATCGATGAGAGAGAAACATCGATCAGCTGCCTCCCGCACATCTCCCACTGGGGATGTGCCCGCAACCCAGGTACATGCCCTTGACCGGAATTGAACCTGGGACCCTTCAGTCCACAGGCCTACGCTCTATCCACTGAGCCAAACCGGTTTCGGCTATGGTGTACATTTTAAAACAATTTTGTGTGCCTTCTTGGAATTAGAAAAATGTGTAAAGTATGGCTAAAAGGTAGGTAGTTGGGAATTCTAGCTTTCACTTAGAATGGAGAAAGCATTGCTCCCACCCTTACAACAACAACAACAAACCCTAGACAGCTGCAAATGTACCGTTTTCTTGAATCTAGCCGAGATCTGAGGTTGCAGGGCTACCACCTGACCCCAAATCTAAGTAAAGAAAGGCAAGCATTAAGGAAAGATGGAATAGAAGTTCTTGTTTACCTGGGAGAGACAAAATGAACAGTGCCCACAAGAATTCAGTTGAAAAAAAAAATTTTTTTTTTTTGAGAAAGAAATACAATTTTAACACAAAATATACATGTTAAAATAACAGCAGAGCTGCCTGACTTGATCCTGTATTTTTTCTTCAGGCTTTTATTTTCTTTTATTTTTTTAATCCTTACCTGAGGATATTTTTCCATTGGTTTTTAGAAAGAGTGGAAAGGAGGGGGAGACACAGAGAGAAATATTGATGTGAGAAAGGCACATCAATTGGTTGCCTGCCACATGCACCCCAACCAGGTCAGTTGAATTTTTTAATGAACTGCTAAAGGCTTTGTATAGACTAGCAAGACAGTGTAGAACCACTGGGGTCTGCAGACACATGGGAATTTGCACCTGTCTCCACAGACTTTATTTGATGCTTACAAAAAAGATAGGGGGTAGGGTGGACGTACTGCCCTCATTGAGCACGTCTGGAGGAGGGAACAGTAAATAAATGCTTCAGGAAAGATATGAATTCTACCTAAGTCCTTCTCCCTGCCTCTCCTATGAGACAAAGTCTTAAACTGCTGTGGGAGGGGAACAGAAAGAAAACCCTCTACCTACAGGAAAAAGGCAGAGCTGTGCTGGGTCCAGACCTTCAGCAGAGGGGGCAGGGCAGGACACTGAGGAAGCCACTCCCCAGTCACCCGGGAACACAGTGCTTGCCCAAGACCAGGCTTAATGACAGTAACAGAGAACTCCCACCCCCATACCAGGCTAACCGAAATGGCTAGCAGTTAACAATGAATGCAGGGAAGTGCAAGAGCCTGGGGCTAACAGATCTTCTTAGATCCAGCATAAAGGGAAGACCACAGGTTGAGCAGACACAGAAAAACCCTCTAGCAAACAAGCTTCTACCCTAAAGAAGTATGTCTAGAGGAATTTGAAGCTTGTGGTGCATTATGGGTAACAATGGCAGCAACATATTCCAAACTAAGCTCAGGTCCTGACAATGGAATGACCCCACCTCCACCCACTAAAGACCTAGCAGAAAGAAAGGCGTGCCTCATTCTAGGCACAAAATCTGTTTACCTCAGTCAGCTGTCTTGCAGAGGATATCCTGCTTTCAAAAAAATTGAGGCATAAAGAGAAATAAGAAAAGCAATGCACTTTTGAGGCCAGGGAATTAACTGAACCATATTCTTAGGACACAGATATTGGAACTATCAGACATGGAATTTAAAATAAGTGATTAATATGTTAAGCCCTCTAGTAGAAGAGGCAGACAACATGTATGACCAGGTAGGATATTTCAGCAGAGAGAGAAACATAACAAAATCAAATGAAAATTCTATAAATGAAAAGCACAATAATAAGACAGTGTCTTCAATAAGCTCATCAGTAAACTTGGTATGACCAAGGGAAGAATCTTAACTTTCGGATAGGCCAATACAAATGATCTAAACTGAAATGGCAAAGAGAAAAACATGAAAAATTACAAACAGCATCCATAAGCTTTGAGATAATAAAGAGTGGTCTGAATGTGTAATTAAAATCTCAGAAGAAGAGAAAGAGAATGGGACAGAAGAAGAAATGGCCAAGAATTTTCCAAAATTAGCAATAGACAACAAAACAAAGATGCAGAAGCTCAGAGAACACATGAGGCAAGATTACCG